ATTGCCAAATGTCCCCGGCAGGGCAGAAGTGCCCTGAGTTAAAAACCACTCCTCCAGGAGAAACACTGCAAGATGAAGAGAAGCCTGAGATATCTAGGAGACGGTTGATAATTAAAGGACAATGAGGGAGAAAACGAGATTTGTGCATAAAAGGGGCAAGTGGAAAGGTTCCCACACATTGTGTTATTCGCTCCCTACCAGATTCTGCCAGCATCTTCACCGCCTTGGCCTTGGCCAGCTCCAGGGCTGTCACCCAGCGCTGCCGCTCCACTTCTGAGCTAGCCTTCAGATGGTAGGTCTGAGCACCCCCATTGGAAATGATGAAGTTGCAGGAATCCTCCACAGTGATGTTGGCTGTGGCGAGGTTGATGGTCCCCCGGCAGGTGTGTCTCATTTCTGCCTTTGACCTGCAATAACGAGACAAAGACATGCTAAGGAAAAAGCTGATGGGTGGTTTATTCTTGATCACGTTCCTTTTCTTTTCCTAACGCTAAGCCTTTCGAAAATCTAGTAGTCTTAGGAATGAGCAAATTCTAATATTTCTCTCGAATGGCTCCCTAAAATTCAAGAAACAATCAGTAGAGATTTCCTTTCAGAACCTAAGTGTTGTTTCTGAGTTAGGTTTTACTCTGCTGTTCCTCTCACCCTTAGCTTTTTTGAATGAGGCTTCACTGAAGTATAACCACGTACAATAGAAATTCAGCAATTTTAAGTGTACGATCCAGTGAGTTTTGACAAATGTATATAATTGTGTAACCACCTCCACAGTCGAGATGTAAAACATTTCTATTGCCCCAAAAAGTTCCGTTGTGCCCTTTGGCAGTCAGGAATTACTTTTTATTTAACAAGTTATAAAATAGAGCTTTATAAACCCATGCAACAAAATTTCATATAACAATCGCATTCCCTAAGGGAAAGAATAGCTCTATTTTACAGATACTGAACAAAGCCCCTCCGACTGTAAATCAGCCCAAATGAGACCTGTCACAGTATGCTAAAGATTGAATTGCAGAGTGTAAGGCACACATAGATGTTTAGAGTATTAAATATTGACTATAGCTCAGTGATATGAAATAGGAATAACTCGCTTTCTGTGGGAAAAAAGAAGGAATAGTCATAAAAGAATCACCAGGTGGTATAATCTTTCTGGAATATGTTATTTCCTAAGGTCTACCGACCTCTATTGGTGGGAACTCCTAAGCCATGCTATTAATAGCTAGGAAAGATTCAGCAAATCTGTTCTCAGAGGACTGGGTGTAAAAATTTTCCCTATCTCTACTGACTGACAGTTCTATTAATAGACTAACATTTGAACTTTACAGCACTATTTGGTGACAATAAACTACAAGGGGCTTCACATAAAGTATCAAGCTGCTAGCACAGCAGTCTACAGCGCAGACTGTGCTACTTTCCCCACCACCTGCTGGCTGTGCCCAGGGGCCTGCATGTTGAGAACACAGTTTTTCCCTGACCAACTTGGAACATAAAGAGGTCAAAGTCCTTTGCCAAGTGCCACAGTGCAAAGCAGAGCCATTTCCTTTCACGGGAGCCAAGTCGCCAAACATACCTGGCACATCCAGAATTCCTGCATGCCAGAAATAACACACGCCCTACCTCCAGAAAGTAAGATTTGGTATGTTTGAGAAAGTCGGTTTTACTGTGCTTATAGGAAGACAGGCCTGCTGTTGTTCAGTTTGTCACATGAAACTGGTTTTTCTTCCCCAACTGAGCAGTCTGGGATGGCTAGGGGGGTCTCAATGGTCTGGGCCATTTTCCATCCTCGCACTTGCCACACTGTAACGTGAATCCTTGTTTTTTTTCTACGCTTACCTCCCCTCCCCCACCCAAAGCTTCAATTACATTATGCATAATGCAGGCTGAAATACAGACCCACAGCTGACAGGCCGCTCACCCTTGCTCTCTATTCCAAAGGTGCTACTTGGACCTTCTACCACATTCCTCACAATGTGTTGGTATTTTTCACAAATCACTTCTCAAGAGTCTCCTCTGCCTGGTCATCTTCATGAACTAAAGAAGTTTCTCAAATCACACACAGTCTGCAGCAGTTTTAAAAGTACCAGGGAATCCTGGAAGTACAGCAGGCTCAACGTTGGAGCTCTTGGGTTTGGGCAAATACACCAATGGTTACAAATGATCAGTACAGAAGCTGGAAAGAAATGATTTCGGGGTGCAAGATTAAATTCTCCAGGTGCTACAGTATTAGGTGGTATTTTCTGGCTAGAAATTTCTTCCCTGAAAACAGACCAGCTGAAACAGTAACTCGATCTCTAGAACCTAGCCAGGAAAACCAATACTATGGTCTGTCACGATGTGTCTGCAGAAGCTGGGATTCTACATATGGTTTTAAGTAACTGAACATCTGTGTAACTGGGAATGTAAGGAAGAACAGGACATATAAAAAGAGAGAAGCAGTGTTGTCAAAGCCTGTTAGGAAAGTTCATCAGAGGACAGGTCTAGGGAGTACATGATCTCAGTTAAAAAGAAAACAGTATTTTGTAAGAGGCGTATATATAGGAAATGGCAGGTTCTGAAGGCATGAAAAGCAGGAGGAATGACAACTTGGCTAAATAACTTGAGAAAGACGAGGACCCAAAGAACTACCAACATAACTGGTAGGAAGCACTCAATATGATTTTGAACGTAGCACGTAGATTTGATAACTCTGGATCCTGTTGTTTGGTTTGTGGGTGCGACTATCTTAGCTGGCAAGGAAAGGCCTATGGTATATTTCCCGATATGTGGTTTGATATGTTTCAGAAGAAGTTTTATCTGTAGTTAGACAAGTACCACTTGCTCTTGTAAGAGAGACCTCAAAAGTGATTACAAGTACTTCGACAACATGTAAGTTAATGTCCAACAAAGGTAATATTGATCAAGGCAGGTACTGATCAAAGAATCAACTAGCCTGGAAAGTGGATCAGATAAGAACTTGGATGAGGAAATATGATCACACATTAAGGTCCTCAGCTGAAACACAACTTCTGAAAATGAGGAATGTGTTAATAGTGACTTAGAGGTCAAGTTAGAATAAGAACCAACTGAACATTAGGATGATGGTCAGTGAACCTGAGCAGGAGAAAAACTTTGGAGCAAACCAAAATTTTAGATTTTGTGATCTAACCTTAAAGTCCCGGATAAGTAATTAGAAGGGATTAAAATTAAAACTAAGTCGGAATACAGTAATGCCAATGATATACACAATGGTTCACAATTAATGTGAACCAATAGCAGTGAGGATGCGCTATGGCGTTTTCCACTGTACCTACTTAAACAACCTCCAATTCCCGCCGTCGATTTCCCCTCAAAATCCTCTAAGAGTCTATACAAGGGAGTTGATGGAAGAGAGATTTGTTCACCCTAACTCTCCCGGAGGCAGAGTGACTTACTGGCAGAGGAAAAGGAATACAGAGTGAAATGCTCTTAACAACAGTGTTTGGGATCCCAAACAGGATGGTCTTTATGAAAAGATTTCAATCGGAAATGACATATACTAAGCAAAGTCTCTTAATAGAGACTTTTATACACTTCATATAAAATAAACATAGTAACCACAATCTAAAAACTTACTTGCTATTGATAAATAATTATCTCTGTATCGGATTCATGTAACACGAACCTGGGTTTTAGGCTATGTTTCAAATCTTGACTCCTCAAGACCTTGGGAACGTGGCCCAAGCTGTCTGTTTCCTCATCAGTAAGATAGAAATTCTCCTAACTTCCAGGGTTGTTGGGAGTTAACGAAATACTGCACGTAAAACACCTATCCAAACTGCCCAGCTCCCTGAAAATGTTTATGTCCTGTCCCCAACTCTGATATCTTAATCTCTCTATCTGTAGTAACATGAGTAGCCAAAAACATGTTATTGCTATGGCAAGACTGTGACTCACCATAAATATGTTAAACATTCCAAAAACACACATGGTTGAAAAGAAGTAATCATACAAAAAACATGGATTCTTCTTTTAATAAAACAAACAGACCGAACCAGAGATCCTGGAAATACTGGAAAGAACATTTGATCAATCATTCCCAAGGGGAAGAGGTGGGGCAAACAAAAATAAAAGCAGCGTTGGAGTGTGTATATCTCCTCCAACTCAGCTGTCTAGAAGGCCAAAACATAAGCAAGTCTTGGAGAGATAAGACAGGGGACAGATACAGAGGCCACCTAGTGCGTGGTGTCCTTGTGCCTGAATGCAGAGCAGAGAGAGCAAAAGCGGGTACATCAAGAACTGCTAATAACCTTGAAATCTGGAGACCGGGCACAGACAGCTAAGCCTTGGGACTTTGACTACAAGTTCCTTGGAAGCGGTGCCTGGGCTTTGCTCTACTATTATGTGCCCCTTGGCACCTACAGCAGCGCCTTCCCTGCAGAACTAATCACTGCACCGATGTGCTGTTGAAAACATAAAGAATAAATGGTCTTCAAATAACTGGAACGGCCAGAGACCAAAGGGAGGGGTATGGCATCAGGGTGGGTAAACCAGGTGGAGGGGTAAATCTGGGGCATTCACCCTCCTGATGGTGGGCTCGCGTTGCGGGCTGTCAATCCGCGCAGGTAACGAAAAGGGGTCTGGGGCGACCTTGGCTGTGGTGCCGACTGGAGAGGGTGACGGCGCGGGGGCTGTGGGCTGCGGTGGGGGACGGTGCCCCGGAAGCAGTTACCTGTAGTAGCTCAGGAGCCCGTTGCTCAGCACGAACCACCGCCGCTGATAGCCTTTGATATAATTGGTCCATTTGAAGAGCCAGCCCT